TTTGAAACTTTTTTTTAACAAGTTTGTCCTTTCCTCAAAAAGGTAATAAAAAATATTAATGGTAGTATATTATCTGAATACACAAATGCAGGAAAATAATTGAGAACCAAGGACTTAAAATAACTTTAAAATAGAATATATAGATTTAATTTAATCAACCATTATGAGTAAGCACACAGTTTTTATATAGTTAAAATGTTCTAAACAGAATGTTCAATTATTAATAGTTCTCTATGGCCAGGTAATGGATGTTTATTTCCCTACTCTTTATATTCAAAATTTTTTAAAGTCTATTTATAAATTACTGAATATGAAGAGTTTTAGGTTAAAATATCAAAATACTAAATATGGATCATAGACTCTCTCCTACATTATCAAACAAAAAATAATTTTAAATACTCCGAAAAATCAGTTGTAGTGAACAAAACAAGAAAAGTCAGGGTCCAAAGTTCACCGTTCAGTGTGGTTCCAAGCTTCACTCTCACACCCAGACCAGTGAATTAGGATAATCTTAAGAATTAATTAAAGCTGATGTTCTAAAACTAAAACAAATGTTTCAGAACGCAACACTGAATTGGGGATATAATCCAAAAGCTAATAGTGTACCACATCTTGAATGGGAATAGAATACTTTCTGAACCAGGTGATATGAACATAGTAATCTGGCATTTCGTGAAATCTTACAGGAGAATAAAGAGCCTAGGTCTTCTAAAAAAAAGGTTGCATTTAACTTTGCTAAGCTCACATAACCTGAAGGTACAGAAAAATGGGTGAATATCAAAATGCACAGCCATCAAACTATAGCTAGAAGAAAAAAACTCAATTTGGAAGAAAACATGACCCAAGAACAGAAGGAATTCCTCTATAGGAGGTTTATAGAAGAGTTTAATAAGAACATGAGTTCAATAAAATAAAATCACAAAGATAAAATAAAACATGAGTAGATAAAAAAGGATAATTGCATAATTAAAACATTATTACCCAATAAAGTAGCAGCAAGGAACAGGTTTGTGACAGTCACACTGAAGTTAGAGAAAAGAGATTAAAATATTAAGTGAGAATATAATATATTGCAATGTAGGAAATGTTTTATTTAATGAAATTAAATAAATTTAAGTAGATAGTGTCTACTATATTGGACAATGCAGGTATAGAACATTCCCAACATCACAGAAAGTTCTGTTTATCAGTACTGGTCTAGAACAGGGGTCCTCAAACTTTTTAAACAGGGGGCTAGTTCACTGTCCCTCAGACTGTTGGAGGGCCGGACTATAGTTTAAAAAAAAACTACGAACAAATTCCTGTGCACTCTGCACATACCTTATTTTGAAGTAAAAAAAACAAATGGGCAAAAACACCCGCATGTTGCCCACGGGCCACAGTTTAAGGATGCCTGCCTGGTCTAGAAGATAGGAAAACTCCTGTGCTCTAGCAGTTGTCTTGTCTCAGCCTCCCAAGTAGCTAAGACTACAAGTGTACACCATCACACTCAGCTATTTTCTTCTTTTTAATGTTTTCGTAGAGACAGGGTCTCAGTATGTTGCCCAGGCTGGTCTCAAATTCCTGGGCTCAAGTAATCCTCCCACCTCGGCCTCCCTAAGTACTGGGATTTACAGGCATGAGCCACCGCACCCAGTGCTAGCTCCATCTTTTACTAGCTCTGTGGCCTTATGCAAGTTACTTAACCTCTTTATGTTTTTGTTTCTCATTATGTAAAAAGGAGATGATAATAGTAGTACCTACCTCATAAGTTTATTATGAACACTGAATTAATGTATCTAAAGCATTTAGAAAAGTGCCTGAATTAGGTTTTACACTATATGTATGTACTCTTGTTATTGTTACTAAATTTGTTCACTGCTATGTCTGTAAAACCTAGACCAGGACTTAGCACATAGTAGAGACTCAATAAGTAATAATTTCAACATAACTGATACTTTAGCCTTATAAAAATGTAAGAACCCTTACCTCTTATCATATATAAAAATTCACTTTAAATATATCAGGGACCTAAATGTAGGAACTAAAACTCTTATAAGAAAACATAGGTATAAATCTTCATGACTTTGGATTAGGTAATAGTTTCTAGTGTATAACACCAAAAGCATAAGCAACAAAAGAAAAAAAAAACAGATAAATTGGACTTTATCAAAATTAAAAAACTTTTGTTCATCAAAGGACATTGCCAAGACAGTGAAAAGACAACCCACATAATGGGAGAAAACATTTACAAATAATATATGTGACAACATCTACGCAGAATAAACAAAAGAATCTCATAACTCAGCAAAAAGATAAACAACACATTTTAAAAACGGTATCATATTTTTCCAAAGAAGATATACAAATAGCAGAACCAGCGCACGAAACAATGATACTGCTTCATACCTACTAAGATAGCTATTAAAAAATAATAATGACAGTTGTTGGTGAGGATGTGGAAAAACTAGATAGAACCTTCACATGTTGGTTAGAGTGTAAAATGATGCAGCAACTTTGGAAAACATTTTGGTAGCTTCTCAAATAGTTAAATGTAGTTGCCCTATGACCCCCGCAATTCCACTCCCAGGTATATACCCAAAAGAATTTAAAACATGTTCACACAAAAATTTATGCCTGATTGTTTATAGCAGCGTTATTCATGATAGCTAAAAATGGAGACAATCCATATGTTCATCAAGTGATGCATAACCAAAAGGTAGTATATCTATCTATATGATGGAATATTATTTGACCATAAAAAAGAATAAAGTACTGATACATGCTACAACATAGATGAGCATTGAAAACATTATCCTAAGTGAAAGGAACCAGACACAAAAGATCACATATTTTATGATTCCATTTATGTGAAATGTCCAGAATAGAATAATCCATTGAGACAGCAAGCAAATGAGTGGTTGCTAGGGATTAGAAGAAGAGGGAATAGGGAGTGATTGCTTAATGGGTATGGAGATTCTTTTGGGACTGATGAAAATATTCTAGAACTAGATAGTGGTTGCACAACTCTGAATATACTAAAAACCACTGAATTTTATACTTTAAAATGATGAATTTTAAATTATTTAGTTATGTGAGCTTTATCTCAATTTAAAATATATATACACAAATAAGAAAACATAACTTTACATGGACGTTAATTGTTAAAGTTCAACAACAATTGTTAAAGTATGCTTTCTGTACATCTTTTGAAAATTTTTATCTTTAAGAGAATGAATGTTTTATCAATACTAAAATTGAGATCATTATAATTTTCATGATACATAAAAAGTTTTTAATATGGTGAAATGTCTACTGTGGGAGTAGATACATATTTAATAAAATAAATGAGTATATGCTTATCTTTTTAATAATGTCATCTTATTTAGCTATGATATCCATATTAATAAGAAGTCTCTAATATTTCATTTTAGGACTATTTCTTTAATACTATGCACATTAATGTAAGAACATTTCTTTTCAAAATTGGCATATTTTAAATAATGAGACTGACATAAATTTTAAAATATATACCATCTCTATTGAAAATATTAATTTTTCAAATGTTTATTGTTTTTGTTGAATTGTGGGATACCTTATAATAACTATTATTAAGTGTCCGTGGGGTTGAAAAAGATGTTAATCCAAATATTTTGTGCTAAATATTGCCAGTACAAAAATGTACAGCTCTGAGTAATGATTAAGACAATTATTTGACTAACTCTCATAATCTAACAGTTACTTGATTCTTAATATGTGACAAGCACCAATCTCTGCATTTTACATGTTTAACATATTTATTCCTTACCACAACCTACTGAAGTGAATACTATTAGCTCCATTTTTCATGTGATGAGTAGAGACATAGATAGAGTGTCCTAATAGGCGGTCAAGGTACCCCAGACACAGCTACTAATGCATAGTCAAGATTTGAACCCAAAAATTCTGGTTGTAGAATTCAAACTTGTAACCACTATGCTGTATTACACTATACTCCCTCACAAACGTTTATTTCCATTGAAAAAAGAAGATATTAATGCCTTGCTAGAAATAATGGATTCAGAGTTTAAATGATATAACTGGTTTCTAATACTAGCATAAATTAGAAGATAAATCCACTTTTAGGAGGTACCTAAAATATGTAATAGCTAATGTGTTTTTAAGCTGATAATTTGACATAATTCTAAGCTTAAATAAATTTGATCTTGAAAAGTAAAAGTTGTAACTTAGACTAATTTATAACATAGCACAAGATTATGTTTACTAATCCAATGTCCCACATTATCTTTATGAATCTGGCTAATAATGAAAAAAAACAAAAAAACATTATTGTGTGTGCTTTTTTTCTTCCAGATACTTATGTTTTTTTCTTTGAATTATTTTCATAGTACCTCCTTACAAAAACATGTTTCTGTGTTTTTGTAGTCACTCAGTAGGTCCCCTTCTAAAATTAACAAATTAGAATTACCTCTTCATTTAATCAGAAATTTTAAATTCTATTTTTATTGTTAAGAAGAGAGATAAGCTTGCAGATGCTAAACTAACATTTGATATGGGTTATTCTTAGTTGTTGCTTACTCATTATTTCAGTGAATGAGTTTTTTGACTTCTAGAGTTATAAACCAGTAAACAGATTGTGCACATGATTTATTTTTACCTTGTGGCAAACATAACAATAATTACATGTAATACTTAAGTGCAAATTCCAGATTTAAGTGTGTAAATTTTTTAAAAATGAGCACAGCCTCTTGTTGGAATAGCAATTGGTTTTTATGAGTATAGATATTGGAATATTTTCTTTAAATTTTAGTTCATTGCTAAAAAATTAAACTTCACATTTAATATGATATCTTTTTTCTGTTTTAGAAATATCTATATTGTTATGAGTTTGTGCTTAAGTCAATTATAAGGCATCAGTTTTCAATAGATTGGAAAGTTCTAGTGTTGCTAAATTTATTATTTAAGAAAATTGTCATATTTTTACCACAGATGCTTAATAATGTCTCATTTTGTTTTCTTAGGAACTTCCAGCACCATTACTTGATGATAATTGTAAAAAAGAACTTGATGAAGATGTATGTAATCATAAAACACCAGAATCTAATGTTAAGATGAAAATAGCTTGGCGTTACCAGTTGTTACCCAAGATGGAGGCAAGTCAACATACAAACAATTTCTGATGCTTGCAAATGTGTTTGTTTCCATTTTATAGAATCTCTTATGATATATCTATTATTCTTTAAGTGCAATACAATGTATATGTGTTTATTTAAATAACTAGATATTTCATTTGTAGAATATGTGATCAAGATGACATTTCTTACAAACAAAATTATGGCAAATTATTTTTTATCAAAATAGATTATTTTATTTTTTCTATAATCTCCACAAATAATCCTTTATTTTATAAACGTAAATATATAAATATTTTTGTATATATATAAATATATATTTTTATATATATAAATATATATTATAAATATAATCTGCATGCCAGATTAAATGAACTAATAAGCTATTTCTATTGAGTATGATTACATATATTCAATGGTTCTTTAAAATTACTATTTTTTATTCTTACACATTTTCTATTATTACATTTCCAACTCATCTATCTGGTAAACCCACCTATGCAGAAGAGACTGCAAGAGACAGGAAATGAAAGGAAAATTTCTGAAAAGTCAAAAGAGATAGCAGTAAGTCTGTCCACTGAAGCTCCTGAGCTCTTCTCCTACTGAAGGCTCTGTTCACTTACGAGCTCCACTATTTGATTGTTCACTTCATTCACCTTTCAGAACACATTATTTAATGTCTGTCTGACATACTGATAGAAAGGAGGAAAATTCTAATCTGAATAAGACACAGTTTCCATAGTTTCTCTAGTCTTCCACAGTACCATCAGTGTTATCTTTCCCAGGAACAGAAATATGTTTGTGATACTCTTGAACTTCAAATTCCTTATTTGGTTTCCTGTTTTCACTGCCCCTTCTAACTGCATTGTACACTCTCAGTCATAGTACCCTTCTGCTAAGCTAAGACACAGCCTTAGACTTCTTCTCTGCAGAATGTTCTGTGTGGACATTTCCAGTTAATGAAAGTATGTGAGATGAAACCTCTTTGCTGTGATAAGCCTACCATATGAAATACAAACTTCTTAAGATTGTGTACAAAATCTATACACCCTAATCCAAGCCTACTTTTTTAACTGTCTTCAGTCATCCTATGAGAGTTGCTTCATGTGAATTGCTTGTATTTCTGCTGGTAATGCTTTTTACTTCCTTATTCACCAGTTCATCCTTCTCCAAATGCAGATGTTACTTACTACTTCTTATAGCTTTCCACACATAATTATCTGCTTTCTTATTTTTTTCCATAACACTGCATGCATTTTAAAGTACTACTTCAACATTATTTTATAGTTAATTGGTAGTGTAACTCTCTTCTCCACAAGACTGAGAATTCTTTGTAAGTGCAGAGAACTTGTTTTCTCTTGTTTCTGCAGCACCTATATTAATGCCCAGATAATCAATATTTAGTAAATAATAAATGTATTTATTCAGTCGGCAAATATTGATGAAGCATCAACTCTATACCAGGTATAAAAATAGATACATATTAAGCAATGGCAGATTTTTCTAATTTAGATGTGGAAACTGTTTGAATAATATGATTAAGCTGTGATTTAAATGACGGTGAACAAACTACAAACTGAAGAGAGAATATTTGCAGCTAATACCACAGAATAAGAACTAATTTTCCTTGTATACAAAGAACTTTTTAAAAATGGGCAGAAATATGAAAAGGAAATTTAAGTGGCTCTTAAACATACAAAAACAGATACCCAATTTTAGTTGTAATAAGAGAAAGACAAATGAAAATGACACTGACCTGTCATTTTTCTCATCAAATTGACAGTGATCTACAGTGTTTGGTAAGATACTGTATTAACAAGGATCAGGAGAAACTAGTACTCTCAATACTTTGCTGGTAGAAACATAAATAGGTACAACCTCTATGGAAAGTAATTTGATAGTATCCTTATAAATTACAAAAACATATATCCTTTGATCCATTTGGAAATTTATATCATGAATATGTTTTCTCTGATGTAAATGAAATATACATGAGCTATTTATTCATGCAGCATATTTTTAATAAAATATATAAATGTCCATCAATAAGAAAATAGTTAAATAAATTATGGTATGTCTGAACAGTAGAATACTATATATTCTATGTATTAAAAAATACATAGAATATGTACTTTTTAGAATATGTATTTTTTACGTATTAAAAAATAAAAAGAAAGCTTTGTATAATTAAAGTTGTTGCAAGCGCAGCCTAGCTTGGAAGTGATTGAGAACTGAGTACAAGAGGCCAGAATAAATGTAGTTAGTCTGTTTAGGAAAATATGAGTTAAGTGATAAAGATTAAAACAGACAAGAGATGAAGGACTTGCACTTGAGAACCCTAAAGGCAAGGAACTTCATGTCTTTGATCTAGCAGATTCATTTAAGTGACTGTACTTAATGATGATTCTTTTGTGAAGAGTATATTCTAATTTTTCTACTGCTGTGTTATAAAAGAGTCAATTAAGAACATAAACTCTTAAGTTAAATTTAGCTTTTTTGTAAAGACAGTATACCAATCCAGTTACTATATACATAACTTGTTTCTTCCATTTCCTTTATTTTTACTCTCAGCTAGATTTTGGTCTTTTCATTGATCATTAACATTCTTCAAGTGCAATTGTCAGTGAAAATCCAAGTAACAGAAACCTAAAGCCTTCTCTCGTACTACTTATTATGAAATTTGTTTAGAGTTGGGGAAAAAATTCTTTGTTTCTTTAAAAATACATTGTTTCTTTATAAATTATAGTCACAGATACTATTCCTTCCCCCTTCCACATCTAAGTGAATTGTGTTTACTCCATTCTTCATTTTGGAGTCTGGTATACCTGCCATTGACTTAATTATCTATGGGGGCAAAATTCCCCAAAGTTTCTTATTAACAAATAAATCCAGTGCTCAGTTTTCAAGATTTAAAACTTCAGTGTTTTAAAAATTGTATTCTTCTTATAATAATAATCTTCTTCAGAATACTCATTCTCCCATTTTCTTCAGGTCTCTGCTAAAATATTACTTTATTAGGAGCAACTTCCTATGTCACTCTATGTAAAATAAAACCACTATCATCTCCTTTTACTGCTTTATTTTTCTTCAAAGCACTTATGATTTAAGCTAGCAGATAATATATCTATTTTATTATTATCATCTATCTATTCCTACTAGAATGAGAGAAAGGGACTTTGACAATTTTGTTTTACTGGCATATAGTAGCATATAATCTTAAGCATACAGTTTAAGATTAAATAAATAGCTCAAAACCAGGTGTGTTGATTGTCAGAGATACCTTTTAAAATAAGTTGCCACCAGATCCTAAGAAAGTAGTCATATTCCCATGCAAAAAAGGATAAGAATATACGCACCTAAATCACTAATAGTAGCTTAGTAAAGCTACATAATAGTAGCTTAGTAAAGCTTAGTAAAGCTACATAAAGCAGTATGTGCTCAATAGTTTTTTGTGTTATTAATATAGCATTCATGCATGCATGAATGAATTATATGTATATTAAATGTTAAACTGAGTTAAGTTGTATTAATTAATACAAATAACAGCTTATATTGAATGTACAGTTAATAGTCAAACTTAAGTTTATTGTATTTACAATGAGTTATGTCAAGTTTAGAAAAAATCATCTTCCAGTTTCTTTGTTTTTTTTATAAAATGTCACCAGCATGTGTATTTGCCTGTCACAGTAATTTTGTATATGATGATTTGCCAAGACCAATAGGCTGTGGCAATCACTCATCATCATCTACTTTATAAATCTGGGCCTTACCTTGCTATTCTCAGTTTAACAAAATAAAAAAACCTGGGTTTTCTATATTTACTTGAGACAAAATGCGGTTAACACTATTACAGCTTAAGATTAAATAAATAGTTCAAAACCAGGTGTGTCGATTGTCAGAAATACCTTTTAAAATAAGTTGTCACCATATCCTAAGAATGTAGTCATATTCCCACTTAGGGAATGCAAAAAAGGATAAGAATATGCACACCTAAATCAATAATATCACTTAGTAAAGCATAAAGCAGTATGTCATCCAGTTGTATGGATGTCCAGGGATGTATCATTTTTATTAATAAAAGCCCCCTTCCCTCACAATATGATTTTGCTTCTCTCTCCAAGGTGGACATACCCTCTTCTTCCCTAATTATCAACCCCTATTCCCTGCTCACCCCATGAATTGCTAGCCTATATTCTATTCTGAGACTAAATTTCTTCAGTATTGTAGAGTGGTAATGCCATGACCTATAATGGCTCCAGCAATTCATGGCAATGTATTAGGTCTTCATTATGTTAAATTCTTGTTACACTTTGGCTCTCTATCTTAGTGTTTTGGCCACAACAGTCCTGTGATAGATGTGTGCATGTGTAGATGACCAACAAATAATGTTTTTTTCAATAAGGCAATGTAATTACAAAGGACAGCAAGGGATCTTCTGATTTCTAGTGCATCATGACACAATAATAATAATTAATAACATTTATGTAGTGCTTTTTAATTTACAAAATATTCATTGCCAGTATTTAATTAGATTCTCACAACAGCCTTGTACAGTAATTGTTAGCTCCAGGTCTTAGTGGTTGAACTGAGGCTCAAAGTATTTAGAAACTGTTTGGGTTCTTGCTACCTGTATGTCATACTAAGAAACAAAGAAATAATAACAGTGGTAAGGAAATGTCTTATTTAGATTATTTGTTTGTGGTGCAGCTTTTCTCTATAAGTTTTGTTTGTAACATACTAGAGCTGAGGTATGATAGTGTTTTGTTGCTCTCTTTTCCTCCTGTACCCCATCAGAGTTCATTTTCTTTTACCATAGTAAACTTTCACTGAACCATTCCATTTTACTGTCTTCCACAAATGACAAACTTAAAAGATAGTTTATGAATGAGAAATAGAAGTTTTCATAATGTAAAACTAAAGCAACATGTTCTTATCAAACTAAGTAAACTGACTAATTATTGATGATATTTTTAAATGCATTTTTTATGAAGTTGATGACAATTTTTTGTGGGCATTTATCATATTTACAGCATTTAGTTATCTTTTATGGAGGAAATGTTTAAGACTTTGTTTTAAAATTGTAGGCCTCAAAAGATTTCAGTGTTTCAAAAATCAGATTATATGTTAATGCTATATATTTTGGGTAGGAAAAACTTGGAAAATTGTTTTTTCTATAAGAATATATTTTCATTTTTTTATTAAAAGGTTAAACTTTTTATCAGCAATAAAATTTCATGTCTACCTTGTAAATATTTTAGCTGCCATATCTAATCTTAATTTCTACATAAATTAATAATTATAATAAGAAAAGCTTCCAATTTTAATTTTACAATTTAATGAATTATTTGTGTTCTATATGTAAAAACTGTCACAGCATGAAATCAATTTTCTGCTTTGATTCATCCTAAATCTGAGATTTCTATCACATTAATATTGTAATTAGAAACATTAATAGAGACGGCAACTTAAAAAGCATACTTTGCTTCTTGACAATTTAGCGTATTTCTCTGAGTGCGTAGGACTTCAAGAACCTTCACTCCAATAATAAATTTATTAACTCAAACTTAAAAGAAGTGAAAAGTCTCTCTTTCTTTCTCTCTCCCCATGGCCAGCCTGCTAAAATAGATTATTCATGCTTATTTGATTCAGGTAGGCTTTTGCAAGCTTCCCTACTAGGCCTGGGAATGTGGTACATTGAGGCCTTTTCAGAGGCTTCTGACATAGACCAAGCTTTTATTGCATGGTGTTTTATTATAGCCAAATCCTAGTCTCCACCCAGTTTGTAGGCACTCTGCTTATTCTTTTGAATCAGGAAAGGTTATCACCTACCTTAATCCATGCAGCAGCATGGATTAAGGACACCAGTGTGCCCCAGGATTCTCAAAGAGGATCCTGGAAACTTCTGTTTTTTTCTTTTTTGCTGTCTTTACTAAATTCTATTGGGCCTTAGGGGGATTTGCATCTGAAATGGGCAACCTGGTGTTTTTCTCAATGAAGACATCAGATCAAAGTTCAGTTAGTCAAGGCCTTTCTAAAACATTAAGGGGGCTTGGACTTACACAATAAAAAGATGAGCTCTAGCAGAGATTGCAGTAAAAACATTCTGAACTATAATCCGGATAAAGAATAGATTATAGGCCAAAGAACAGACCTTGTTTAAATTGCTTTAGACTAATAACTTTACATTTAAAAACTTTATACCCTATTTTTAAGAAACATATTTTAATGTTATTAATTTGTTTGTCAATGGTTTCATGATACATGGATAAATTATGTTTGGGGAATAATAATTCTGTACGTAATTGGATTGGAAACATTAGATTGAAACCAATTGATAGATCTCTTTCGTTAATAAAAGTAAATAGTACCTCATGGAGGGATGAACAGTCATTTTATTTAGAAAATAAATGTCAAACCCATGGACTCTGGATCTGAGAAAAATTGTCTATTTCTTAATGTTCTTAAAAATTTTCTATTCCATGTTAGTATATGGTTTAATGTTTATAGATATTTAATTTAAGAATATGAATCCTTGAAATCTTAAATGCAAATATCTAATGTCAAGAAAATGCATTTATCTAAATTAAAAAGTTGTCACTAAGATGAGAATCTATGTATAGTTCTTCAATTTCTTCAGAGATTATCTAATTTTTTGTTGAATGTTCTGAAACTTGTCTGTTTTATAGCATTCAGGATAGTAGAAACTATATAAGATTAGATTAAAGCCTTTATTAGAAGTCATTGCCAGATGGAATTGGTTAATAGTTAAACTTAGGATAGAGATGTATATATATTTCCCATGTGTTGAATGAAAGAAATTAGCCCAAAGTCCATTCAAAGCAACATAATGTTAATGTTATGTTAGTAGACTTTTACTATCCTATGTAAAAAAATTCAGTATCAATAGTTATTAGAGTTTCTGATAAAAAGATAATTTGTTGGAGAAATTGTTAGTAGAGAACACAAACAGGAATTATCAATGAACTAATGATTATGCCAGATTCTGGTTGTATATAGTTTATATACATTCTCCCACTTTATCATGTGCCTTGTTCCTAACTGGAGTACTGCAGTACATTTTACGCCATAAGTTTAAGTTTGTAAGAAATATTGAATAGACATATGTATTATCTTGTGAGAATTTAGTTTTAAAATAGTTACTCAGTTTAATATATTTAAATAGCTGGTTTCTTTTAGGCCTTTCACCAGTGAATGAATTGGACTTAAGTTTTCATTTAGTTCTTAGCAGCTCTGTTTTTAATTTCTCAAAACCTGGAATCGTAAATATGAATTAAGAATTATGTATATTAAATTTTTGAACTTAGAAAGGTTCATTATACAATATAATGGAAAAAAAAAAACTAGGGAGGTGTTTAAATTCCTACCAAACTTAGGGCACCACTAGTAGTGAAGAAACACGAGAGATGAAATGGTTGATTTCTAACTGTAAATATTTTGAATAATAAAGTTTGTATGCTTCTTTGCAATTTAATAAGTCTATGTATATCAGCTCTTATTAGCATTAAAGTACATAAATACATCATTGTTTTGCTGAAGGTAGGACAAAAAAATTATAGTTTAAAACAAAAATTTTTAAGCAACAACCTATATGTGTGGTGTTTTTTTTTAGCAGATTGGACCAGTATCATCTTCAAGATTTGGTCACTATTATGATATATCAAAAAGGATACCACAAGAACTAATTGAAGCTTCAAATTGGCATGGATTTTTTCTTCCAGAAAAAAGATCTTCACCTCTTAAAGTAGAATCTTGGTAAGTTAAGGACTCATGAGATAGCAAATTCTGATTCCAAAGAGTAATAGAATGCATTTTTATCACATTTTTTAAAAGAATGCATATCTAAGGGTAAATATCTTAATAGTAAATGTTACTTTTCTATATAATATATAACCTTAATTGTACATGTTTCATTAATATTAGTTCCCGATTTTTGCCACACATTGAACCAAACATATGTATGTGTGCAGGGTTGGGAAATGGGTCAAAATAACTATTCCATAATTTCTCAAATAGTAAAAAGGTAGAAACCAGATTCAAAGTCAATTCTGCCTGATTCAGAAATCTGTGTTAGCAGTAATACCATACTGCCTCCATTCATGGAGTGCTTAAGAAAATAAATGTAAAATATTCATTCAGTATGATGCATTTATTTATTTTTTAGAGACAGGATTTCTCTTTGTCACCCAGGCTGGACTACACTGGTGTAGTCATAGCTCACTGTAACCTCAAACTCCTGGGAGCAAGCAATCCTTCTGCCTCAGCCTTCCAAGTAGGTGGGACTACAGAGGCACATCACCATGCCCAGCTAATTTTTAAAAATTTTTTGTAGAAACAGGGTCTGACTATGTTGCCAGGTTGATCTTGAACACCTGGGATCAAGTGATCCTCTTGCCTTGGCCTCCTAGAGTGCTAGGATTACAGGCATGAGCCATTGCACCCAGACCTCCACAATGTATTTAAATGAAAAATAATACAGTATTACTTTTATAATTTAAAATATATTTTTTAAGGATAAAATTTTTTTATGCTACAGAGTACAGAGTTTTTCTTTATTCATTCAACAATGGAGGCAAGGAGAGAATTAACATTTGTCAAGTATCTATTCCAAGTTGTGCAATCTTCTTATTTTGGGATATTTTATTTGACCATGGGATATTTCATTTAATATTCCTAAAATCCCTCTGAGAGAAGTCATTTTGTCCCCATTTTATTGGAAGCTTCAGGTTAGAGTTGCTAAGTAACTCTTGCACTGTTGCAGGCTGTACGTGACTGAGCTAACACCCAAACCCAAGTTTCCAAAATCCCTGCTCTTTTTCTGTACCATGCTGCCTCCATGTACTGAAGCAGTGAATGTACAGCCCACCAAGCTAGGTGCCAGAAAAATTACACCTTAATCAGCTATGAGGATATGGTCCTATAGTCTTTAAAATATATATTTTCTGAATGTTTTTTGAGAACTAGCAGTTTTGCACAGAATAGAAAATTTATAGATTTTAATTATCAAGGCAGTATTTCATTTCATAGAGTTAACTGATAATTCATTTATTTCATATTAAACTTAAATGCTTAATTAAATATAATTAAATTTTAAACATGTAATTAAATTAATTTTCAAAATGGGTACTTTACCATGTGAGATTTATTTTAATTTATGAAAAGCATGTGCTCATTTCACTGAAATGAACTTTACGGGTTCATTTATAAAACAATAAAGCTAAGCCTTACAGTTGTCTATACTTTTCCTATAATTAAGACTAGAGGATATAGCTATGTCCCACTACCAAATGATAGCATATAATATATAATTTCTAGAGGTTCTGTTAAAGCATGTAAAGATTTTTTTTATATTAAGAAAACTAGCAGGTCATTTGAAATTTGCAGTAACCAATTTAAAATTATTGATCAGTTTGCCTATGGAAAATGTTCATACATGCAGTTTAAATTTTCAAATTAAAGCCTGTATATAAAAACCTGACATGTATCACGATAATATTATCAAGATGGTTTTCTTTGGATATTTTACTATCATAAATCAGATGATCTGAGTCACAAAATAATAAGAAAGCTGATTTGGAGAACAATTCTGTAGTCTAAGAGTTTTTAAATTTTACATTGTTTTGAC